GAAAGAAAGAAAGAAAGAAAGAAAGAAAGAAAGAAAGAAAGAAAGAAAGAAAGAAAGAAAGAAAGAAAGAAAGAAAGAAAGAAAGAAAGAAAGAATCAGGTACAGACTTTGCAGGCTATCTGATTAGCTTACCTAAACTGCCAAAATTATTCTTTTTGTTTTTCGATAACAAATATTTGCTAAATTCACAAAGTAAAGCTAGATCACAATTCTCTCTCAACTTGGACAGTGGAGAGAGCTCCTAAATATCAAATACAAAGCTATAAAAGGTTGAATTTTAAATTCACCTTTTTTTAGATGAATGACAATACTCATTTCTTGAGAAAAATAAAAATAAACTTACTTTGTATCTTAAGGTGCCTCTTAACAAAGTGTGAGCTGTCTGAATGCCGTATGGCTCTGCATATTTTGTACTGTCTCTGTTAGGAAAGCCTTCCAGATTTAATCCTGGGAAAAAATCCATCGAAGTAACAGAATCAAGTAATGCTCCTCCAGCCGGAATATTCACAATCTGAATTTTGTGAAAGAACAGAAATATTGTTTAAACTCACTATAATTTAATTTACTTCTACAATAGCAAATGCAAAGTGTGATTCTGGAGCAAGCAAAGAACTAACCTAAATAAAGCAGTTGTACAAGTATTTAAGCATATCCTGTGATGAAGTATACACCATAACAACTATTTACTAACCAAAGGGCTAAAATAAGTCACTGCCTTCTCATATACTGTATTTATACTTGCTGCATGTATATGAAGGCTGCAGGCTCCCATTTCACTTACATTACTGTAATTTTGGAGTGATTTCCCCAAACTAAAAGAGTTTGAATGGATATTCCTGCAGGCTCTTTGCTTTTATGGACACTTTTTTTTTCTTCTTTTTTTTAAGAAGAGACAATTGTAAAGAGACGTCTTCCCTTTTTGAAAAATTAAAATAAATCAATTGCTATCACACTGGTACGAAAATGCTGCCCATCTCTACCTTTACAAAACACAGAAAAAATATACTGTTGATGGGAAACAAAAATAAGGTTGACTAGTTCTATTATCACTACAGACTAAAGCCTTGAACCCTGCTTCCTTCAAGCAGCTGATGCATAGATCTGCTATACAGCATCAATAGAAACTCATTTTGTGGCTTCCGAGCAAAGGGACAAGGTTTCCTTCTAGAACACAGACTAAAATAACCATGTCTGCAGCAATGCTGTAAGATCTTATTGTGTTTGTCAGGCAAAATACAAGTGGGGAAGAATCCTGCAGAACAATCAAAGGCAAGTGAGGATTTAGGGGCAGGGAAGAAAAGCTGCACCATTTATTGACAAGCTCATATACTGTTCTCATAATGAATCATCCACATGTATGATCTAACTCTTCCTAGCAGTGGGTGATCCAGGTCAGAATTAAATAAGAAACATTCCCACATTCTCCTAAGAGACACTTTCATGTGAAACTTACAGCAATGTGTTTTTTTTTTTTTAATAAAGATCTAATTCACAATCCCTGAACCTCTCCTCCTTTCTCACTGAAGCAAGAACACTAGAGCACCAGAATGTCATGATAAAGCATCTTTCAAAAGATTTCTAAGTTTTGCAAATCAAAAGGTTTAGATAATCAGTCAAACTTCAGGGTGGTTAAACAAGGCAGTCTCCTTGACATTTGAAGAGCCCCTCCTCAGTAACTACTCTGAGCAAGTGGGAGATATCAAACAGACAGGACTGGAAAGCATAAATTTGATAATGGTTTGCAATAGCTTACACAAATCACAGCTTAAATCTTTCCATAAAATGGATGGAATGACATTTTCTGGGTTAAATCATTGTTAACGACTCCTGCAGAAACAGCAAAACAGGGCTTATATAAGCCACCTTTCCAAGTCCACTTAGCGTTGTCTATTACTGGTATTAGAGATTCTACCAAAGGAAAAGGAAACCAGGATTTCTGCTAAAGACAGTATGAGTATGGCAATTTGGTTTACAAATCTGACTAGATGGAAAAGCAGGCAGAAGGGCACACTCACCTTTGATTACCTGAGACAGAGTGATTAAGTGGCAAAGTGGCAAAAGTAAATTATGACAGGGATAGGAACCCAACCCAGAAACTAATTTCAGTCCAAGATCTTAGTCTTCAGAAGATGTTCCCTGCTTTACATGAAATTCCATATAGGAAGAATTAACCCAACAGCAGTCATAGACACCAAAACACTCCAAACATGGGAATAGGCGATGCATGGAATTCACTTTAGGCAAGTGATTGTCACTGACTTAAAAGTAAACACATCACTTTACCCCTCCTTAGCCCAGTACCATCTTCTTTGCCTGTCTTTAAATAGAAACATTAGGAGTACTTCACCTCTCCATTTTTTAAATATGTGGCAGACTGGACTGTATTCAGCAACACTCCTTGGGGGCTCCAGCTGAACTTGTATCTCAGAGGATTGTCAGAGTACTCCGGAGCGGGCAGACCACCACAGAAGGAAGTATAGGATACAATCTGCAAGAGTTCAACAGCCACATCAAATTTGTTCACAGAAAAGAAACAAGGAACAGAATGCAACCATAGGAGGGAAGCAGGACAGGGCCACTCTGCAGGGCTCCCATTTGCTTTTAATTTTTTGTTGATACTACTCCCCTAATGACCAAATAAGATCTTCAGGTGGACAGGGGAACCCCAAAGAAGTGAGCAATGGCAATTGCTGGCAGATTGCAAGGACTGTACATAAATTAGGAGAACCCAAAACTTACCTGGGGCAAAGTCATCTTAGTTGATGGGTCCTCACCAACTGAGTTAGTTGGCACCCAATTCCAAACATCATAAAACACAAGATGTCAAGAATTCAAAACAGCTCTATGGCAAGTACATGAACTGATTGCTATTAAAAGAAAAGCTTTACTACAAAAGCATATATAGAAATATATACCAGTTGTCAGCCTTACCGTAGCACCAACTTCTTTTGCCTTGTCAATACATTCCATTGCCAACATATGGTCAAGACCAGGATCCAAACCCATTTCACTGATAACTGTAATACCAGCATCTTCTACACTAAAAAAAAAGATGCAGAATACAAAAAAAGTCAGAATATTGAGTATTACAGGCCTTCTGTTCAGGAAATCTATCCAGCAAAGACTCGTTTAACCTTCCTCAACAAGAAAAATTTGGATTTCTGTCTGCAGCAGAAAACAGCATAAGCAGATGTTGAAATCCCACCAGTTCAAATTGTCCCAAGAATCAGAGTAGTCTTGGTTTCTCCCAATCTTCTGCAACATCTAGGGGCTGATGGAGAAGACCTGCTAGCTACTCTGTATCCCAGATCCTCCTGGATGGTACCATAAAGCATGAAGGTAGTTACACAGGGACAGAACAGGACTAGTCACAACAGCCCTAAACATCTCCTGAAGAGGGAGAGACAGATTGAAAGGACTTCTTTCCCAGGTAGCAAACATTTGGTTTTCCTTCTTTTTAACAGTTCCCTAAATTTCCAAAACAAATCATTTGCATGATTTAAAAATCATTTTTTATTTTTCCAAATGAAAATTGTCTTTTTTTAAAAAACACCTTGGCATCACAGCAAAAGAGGAGGAGATGCACCTGAAACTCCATCATTGTCTTCATTCCTGGGTGTCAATCTAACTTGTTTTATTATTTTCTGACATAATTTATAAGATTCCCATCTCTGTCATTCAAAGTAAATCCAAAGACTTCAGTAGTCTGCCTCAGAAGGATATGGCTGATATTTCACATAATTTCCTCTTATAGTCTTCAAAATATATTAGCACTAACCATTAATACATCCATGAGAGAATAAGCAACTTCCAAGCATATACAATATGTAGGATAACAGAAATAGTATTAGTTAGGATTGTCAGCAATTGAGATTACGTGGTAGTCCTGTCCAAAAGAAGATGGTATAAGGGAGGATGTCAATGTGGACACAATAAGCCAAGTATGAGTTTTCATGACGGAAATATGAAGACAAACAACCTTGCTATCATTGGCACAACAGGACAGGCCAACTGCTCCTCCCAATAGTACAACATGGTTGAGGGAAGAGGGAAAGACACGGTGACATAGAATAAGATGGAGAATGCAAAAAAAAGTATGTTCCAGGATTTAGAGCCATAGTCTGACTAGACTGGAGCAGGCATTCACTCTTTTCCCACAGTCTCCACGTGCAGTTTTCCCTACAATTATTTAATCTTTCTTTGTAGAAAGAGAATGCAGACAACAGTAACTCAAGGGAGATGCTGCACGTGTAACAGATTGCACGTGCAATATTATATATATATTATTTATATAAGGTACCTAGGAAGGAAGGAAAAACAGGGAAATGCTACATACCTTTCCTGGAGTTCTTTCATAGCTGGTGTTAAGTAGCTAGCTGTTACCAAGTTCACTTTGTTCTTAATACATTTCTTAGCAACTAAAGGATGTGCTGAATAAGGCAGCAAGCTACAAGTGAAAGAGAATTATGCAACATCAAAATCAACCAGTTACTTATCCTTTCTCTGGAAAGATACTCAGAAATGTGTTTTTATGACTGTAAAAGAGGTCCAGTAAACACCAGAGACTGATATACCTGTCTTGCCCTGGATAGTTTCACACCTACACAAGTGAAATGCTACTCTATCAGAACAGCATTGTTTCCTTCACTCAAAACAGGGTACAAGGCAACAGGGGAGGCTGTTTTTAGATAGCATTTTCTGTAATGTTTCTCCTTTTATGCAAGATGATGCAAGATGAAAACCATCCTTGAAAATGCTTGCTTTACAGTGATCGTGCTGAAACACTTTGTGAAAGCGTGGTCTACTTGGAAAAGAAACGACACTCATGACATCTGTGACAATAAAGGCAAAATGGCAAGGACTGTAAGGTCACTTTCTCCCATATTTCAGCACTTGGAAACAGATCTTCCTCATCTCTCTTTCTCATTTAGAAGAAATGATCAAGTTGTTGGAATTTTGCCTCTTCTCGATGCACACCAATTTAATAAGAGCACACATGCTGGTGAAAGCAGCTGGCCCATCGCACTAAGAAGCTGTACAAATAAGGTGGACAAATAACCTGTAAGCACTCTAAAGAGACACTGCAATCAAAGCTGCCTTGGAAGTCTATCCCTCACGTCCCTGTAAATGACAAGGCAGTGGCCAGTTACAACTATCACAGGAGCAAACATGTAGCCAGTTCTTGAGCTTTATGAATTTGTGGATTGGGGTCACATAGGCTCCACCAGAAACTCTTGCAAAGTGAGAGCATTCACTTAAAAGTTCTCCTTTACACATTTACCATGTTTATTTGTATCAGTGAACCAGGTGAAAGCAGCAGCATGGCTCAGGGTTGAGCCCAATGTGTTTTACTCCAAATTCTGACCTGATGACAAGGTCATGTTTCTTCACCAAGGAGGACAGACTTTCCTCACGCTGAATGACATCCATATGGACTGGAGTAATATTGCTGTATTTTTTAGTCAACTGTTCAAGTTGTTCCTTCATGACAGATGCTGTTTTAAAAATAAAACAAACCAATTGTTATCAAAAAATTAAGTCAATTCCAAAGTGCTCCCATTTTGTGAAGGCAGAGCTCAACTTGTCTTCAAACATCATTTTACCCAAGTTATCATGTAGCAAACTCTATGCATCAGCACATACGTTGCATGAGCTCCCCTGCAAATGGATAATTGTGCTTTACATCTACCACCTTCTTTCCAAAGAGAAGCAGTCACATGGGCACTTTGTTTTAACTAACAGTTGAAAAGAAATCAGGCATCAAGTGTTCTTTACTTTCTCAAAGTAGCAATACTTTTTCTAAGATAGGTCAAATTTATTATCAATCAACAGTATCAAGCCATAAAAGCTGTTACTCAAGAATAAGGGTCTACAAAGACTATTTACTTTCAGAAATAAAGAGAAACTCATTGAAAAAAAGACCATATGTTCTGGTCTTTCAGGTGGTAATGTAAGCATGCAAAGAAAAGTGACATTTGGGGAGAAAAAGGTTCCAAGACCAAATGTATATTTGAGAGGATAAAGTGTTAGTGGAAAATCTGTTGTGAGGTCAAAATGGATCAGGAAGGGTAGAAAGGATAGAAAGAGAATCAATCAATCAGGAACTCCATAATATCCCTCATGCAGCACTATGAAACCAAGGCTGTGTTTTTTCTTTGTCTTGTTTATTTGGTGGAAAATCAGACAACAGACTTGATCTTCACGCTTTGATTTGGGAGGGACATCACCCTGCTAGGTCTGCTGACCCCTTACTTAAATGAGTCACCCGGTGGTCTACTTGACAGAGCAGGGATTTGCAGGATGAGGTCAACAGTGCGTAGGAGTGAACTAGAATGCCAGGAACTCTCTTCAGGGTCCTGGCTGTATTAAATTACTGTAGGCATTCATGAAATCATCAAGTTGCTGGAGAAAAAGTGTACAGCTATAAAAGTCAAGTGATAAGAATAATAAAAGTAATTCCTTCTCCCAAAAAGTCTCTTTTTTTGCATGCTAACATCCCCACCTGAAAGCAAACAATCAAGTAGGATTCAAACTGGAACATTCTTGTACAGCTCTTGTTTTGACTTTCACTCAAAAAAAAAAAAAAAAAAAAAAAAAAAAAAGAGTGCCTGGTGCTTCCCAATTTAAAGAAAAAACATGTTGTAATGCCCCTGAAGGAACGGAAATTTTCACAATGGAAAATGGCATGCCCAGTCTGTTTAAAAAAATGAGTTTGAATTCATAATATTTTTCAGGGAAAAAAAAAAAAAGCATTTTCAGTTAGAGCAACAGTTTATCTTGAGCTTGAAGTAGAAGTCTGAAGTATTTAAAATCACTGAGTACATGTTTTCTCCAGCTTTATAAACCATCATATGGTGAACTTGACCAAGTAACTCTGAGCAGAGCTGAAATATCCCATCCCTAATTCTATGTCACCAGTACATTTATAGATAAATCTAGTTAAAAAGGAAAAGTCGTTCAAAAGATTGCTTCAGCACCTTTTAGCAGAATTCCTATTTCTCTCTGAGAATATCTTAACAGTTTAAATAATAAAAAAAAGTTATTCGCCATATTTAACAAAATAACTATATAAAAGATAAGCTTTTGCTTAAGAACAACATGACTAATAAGTTCAGCTTCAATCTAACTAACTTCAGTATATACACATGGCTTAGTCCTATCAATCCTACATAAACTCACACTGTCACTTAAAGGGAGAAATTCAGTCCCTGCCTTCCACTTGCTCCTTTTTATTCTCTTGCTTGCCCTACTATTAGCACTTACATTATGAAGAAAATGGAACTGGAAAGAGTGATCCAGACTAAAATCAACCAAGATTTGCTGTATCTGACTGGAAGTGAAATGGGTTCCCGTCCTGACTCAGCATGCAGCCACACAAACACCGGTGCCAGGCCACGCAATGCAGTGAGAGCACAGCCAGGAGGAAGAAGAGGGCAAGGAAGGCAGCTACTAGGGCACAAGCCTGCAGAGAAGAAACAGCATCTGTGCCACTACGCGAGGGGCTTGTCAAAGGGAAAATCATATTACCAGAGACTGATTCTCACTACCAATCAACCTGTGCTCAGGAAAAAAAGGCTCAAAAATCAGCCTACAAATTCTAAACTAATCTCAAGTTAAGAGGTTTTCTCATTAAAGCTTTTAGGCAAGCCTTTCAATCACTTGGATCTGAACGGTCTAGCCTAATTGCAGGGAAACAACATGCCACTGCAAAGAGTGTTTTATTCATCCATTAACCTGCTATCAAATGTTAGACAAATTGCATCAACTTTGTGCCTTTTTCCTTCCCACTTATTTTTTTTCCGCTGTTGAAAGTGCATGTTTTTAACTCACCCAGATAAGCAGCAGCTGCTGTGTTTGCACAGCGCTTGGCAAAACAAATCTCACAGTTCACCTGATTTCCCTCAGTGCTACCGTCTTACTGGATGCAGGCACCCTGCTGATGAGGGGATGGGCACTGCACGCCCCTGTGACCCCTCCCTGTCCACCACATCAGGCTGTACCAGGGAGATGGGCACAGCTTCCCAGGGTGCGCCTCTATGTCCTAGGAAGCCTGCTGCCAGAAGAGATCGGTACCCTGGTTATCATCTAACAAGGTGACAGAGTGACAAAGTGTGAAAGGAGCCCGGAGGAGGTGGAAACAACACAACAAAAACACTTCAAATTAGCAGAAATGTGAAGTTTCACAAGAAGGCACTTCCCAGCAAAGCATCATTCAGACAAAACCAAACATCTTGGTTTTTAATTTTGAAGTCATTAAGGTGAAGTTATCATCATGGGTACAGAAAAGTGTTTTGGACATGTCTAGCATGAGATATGCTACAAATAAAACCAAAACAGAGCTAAATGTGGGCAGATGTTGCCAAGCTCAGGGTCTGAAGAAGCTTTACTACCATACCACTAATCAGGTCAACAGAGGAATCTCCACTCATAGAATCAATAAAGACCATTTTATCTTCCTGTTGTGTGAGGCTGAAAACACAACTGAGCACCACCAAGAGAGACTGACTAGCTACAAAATGCTGTCACAGGCCCAAAGCAGGTAAGTTAGATGAAAAATTCTTCTTTCCAACTTTCATATCAGCAGCACATGTGAACAGTAAACTTCTTACAAGGCTATGTCATGTTCAAATTGATTAGTTAAGTTAAAAATGTTCAGAAAAGTATGCAATCGTTTTCTGAAGTGCATAGCAACAAAGATTTTCTCTATCTGTTCTCAGAACCAGTTCCAATTAATACATATGAGAAAGACTTTGGCACACAGGTACAGGGTAAGATAAGTGCACGTAATATATGAAAGACATAATCATTCAATCAAAAGCAAGTGAAATTTTACATACCAACTGTGATGTCAATGTTGGAATCTCTAGTGAGATATTCTAATACAGGGCCAGAGACATAGCCAGATCCAAGCAACAAAACCCTCTTCTTATTATCCATGTTCTGCAACTGAGCGTATTCCCTAGGAAGTGTAAGAAGCAAAATTAAAAACTACACAGGAGGAAACAGCAAATTACTAAAGCTGACAAGTAAGTATGTTTTAGTAAGTCTACAAACCAAGAGCTCTATTCAGACTAAGAGTTAAGTTTTTGGCTATCTAATCCAAGATTGGTCAATCACTGCATCAGTTCTTCTTTTGCCTAACTTTGAGTCTCCTTCTTCTAATCAATTCTAAGATCAATTCCATTAATGTATTCGCTGTCTCTCCAACTGCTGCTGGCAGCTCTACACTTTATTCCTCAGCTGGCATTAAATTTTCCCTGATGGCCAAATGACTGTAGCCTGATCATATGAGGACTCCAGCGTGGTCTGTGTGGCCATCAGAAAGGTGTTCCTGTCTGCCCTGTGCTTCCCACACATCACAGCCTACTCCTAAGGTATGTGCAGCCACGCTGGTGAAAGCACATGTTGGGTAGTTACAATAGGTTCATAGTAGCCTATCATAGGAACAGAGAGAGACAAAAAAAAAAGAGAAAAAGAATTTAACTAGTTAAGAAATCCTGTTTGCAAGCAAAAACTCTCATTTATGAGACAACCATCAGTGTATTTCAACCAAGTTTCTATTACTTTTTTAAAGTTTTTAAAGTTTTTAAAGTTTTTTTTTTTTAAATTATTTAAGCACGGGAAGCTATCTATTGGTTTACCATTCCACATAAGTAATGGCATTTTGAAATTTTCCCCACCTCTTAGCCTGAGACCCAATTTCAATATATACTTAAGACCTTTGAAGATACAGGCTTAGTGGAAATTTCAGAAATGTATAGGCAAGTTTCCCTTTTACCCACTGAGACTTTGCATACTGCATCGTGTAGAGAGAACTCTGGTCTAAACTGACAATCTCATATCCTTGGAAGGAGACTAATCACCTCCCTGCCAAAACCCGTTTGGTTGTGATACTCCTGGGGCTCTATATGGCAGCCATAAGTAAAATTTTTTGTTGTGTTTTTTTAATTTAAAAAAGTTCCAAATAACAAAAGATGACATCACAGCCCAGCAGAGACCTACAGCATGGCATGGCATGAAGTTTGTAGGGATATTTAGGGAAATAAGGTTTCAAACAATTGAAATATTGCTCTGAATGAACCTGAGTTAAATCAATACCAAATATACTGTCTGTCTGAAGCACATTCCAGCCTATCAAATGTGCCCGAGTGTTTTTGATCCTTGAATTCTTCTCCAAAATAGAAATATTCCTTCCTCGCTTCATTTTCATGTTTAATTAAATTAAAACAACAAAAAGGCACTTCCTTTCAGTTCTTTAAAATCTAAACATGATTTACCAAAGTATCACTCTTCTACCTAGGCTGTTACTACAGCTCTTTGAACATTTTGATCTTCATACAAGTTTCATAATTTTAGAGTTTGCTTTTTTAAAATGCTAAGATGTTGACTTAGTCCATTCACAGAAGGCCTCCTAAACATACCCAGTCCTCTCATGTGACAAACCTAACTAGGGCTCCTTTAAGAGACCTAGTAACAAGCTTAATAGAAAATCTTCCTCCAAACTACATCCTTTGGGGCAAAGGAAGAGAAGGAACTTCTCTCCACAACTTCCACATAGGAAGCAGCTGTGGAATGCAGATCCTTGGAGCAACAGTGTGGACAAAGGGAAGACTTCCTATAAAACAGAAAACTGGAATTTATAGTCAAACTTCTTAATGCCTTAAAGTCTTCCAGTGTCCAGGATTATAGCACACTTGGATCAAGAAAAAAGCATGTTTGCACAAACAGGAGATGCCAAAAGGCCCATGAGAAGTGGGAATAAAATCTACATAGTCCCAGCAAGGACTATCTACACAGTCCTAGAAAGGACTATTTCAGACTCTTGCCCATCCTCTCTATGTAAGTTCAAATAATTCAGTTAGGTCAGTCTCTGAACAAGGCTGTTATACCATTAACAACCATGTTAATGGTATATGTCATTCCAGCTGTGAAAGAGGAACAGGTAGCCAGTGAAAGTGAAAAAAATAGAGCAAAGCTCAGTAAATCAAACTCTTGATTTCTGAGGGCACCCAGACAGAGCAGCTCATGTAACCTGGCTCTGCTGTGGCTGAAATTTTCATGCATAGTAAAAGGGTATAAGCATTTAGTCTAAATAGAGCCCCCAGCTACTAAACCAGACACAGTTAGAGTAGTAGAGTAGTAACACAAGCCACATCATTCCTACAGGCTCTAAATAAGAGCTCATCTCTAGCTAAGCCATCACACCTTCAAGCAGTAAGCTTCCTACTTTTACCTGCAATATTTCTAAACTGTGCTAAGTAAAAGGGAGGGAGTAGTGTTAGCAGGTCTTGCTTTTCTATAGCTAAGTGAGCAACACCAATTAACAACTAAACATCACATGCAACACACAGGTCTGCAGAAATATCAAAAATCTACCCACAAAACCCCCCTTGGGAAGGAGGTCTCCAGATTCTCGGGGCAGTTCACACAAGATCATGCAAGTGTTTAGGGGAGAGCCAAAAAACAGATCACAATGCTGTGCAGAGAATAAGAACATTTGTTACTGAGACAGCCTTTTGAGGTTGCCTACCAAAGAGCACAAGGCAAAAATGACTGTGAACTACAGTCTGTGAAAGCCAAACAGCATGTTTGGAAAAAGCACCTATAATTCATCATGCTAAAATTCATAACCAGAGACATGCCAAGGTTTCCTGAGAAGATTTAAGAAATTTGGCATGCAAGAGTCAACACAGTTCATTTTAGTATCCACTAATGCACCCAGTACTTGCAGGGAGACTAATTTCAGCTTCTGCATGACCATGAAACCAAAGGCAGCCATTCATTGCAAAATTAACATTTTTCTACAATAATCATAGGTAAGCTATAGGTGTTTGTTAATAACAGGGAAGGAAGAGGAAATGGAAGGTATTTTTGTTAGCTTAACTCAGTTCAGTGCTACTCTTTCACACTACTCTTGGGAGATAAATATTGAGACAAGAATAAAACAGTAGCTAACACTGTAGCTAGAGCAGGACTATAATGAAAAGTCAGAGGTTCTCACAGACACTCCTGATTACATCCAGTCACAGAACAATGCAACCCATCAGTAGAGTAAAATATTCCCTGCACTTGAGCCATACTAGAAGAAACTCGATTCAAGATAGATTAGAGAGCCTTCTGCTTTCAGCCATGCCTTCCAAAGAACTGTATGCTACATGCATTTAGAAGGAGTTAGAAAGAGTAGAAAAATACTGGCAGGCTATGTTCTTCTTGTTAACATAAGGAAAGCGTTCACATAACACATTCTCATTTCAGTATTACATACTAACAATGCATGCTAAAGAGTTAGGCTGTATGGAGAAAGAAGGAAATCACCAAATCAGGAGACACTCAGACACAGAGCAATACAGCAACACTCCATGGAAACACAAGCATAAATAGGTGCAAAAGGGAAGACAGGGTTATTTAAAACCTTCCACCAGACAAAATTTAGGAAGATATACATTACCTGGTCTCCCTCAATTTCTGGATATATTCATACTTAGCTGTCAGTGAGCCATTGGATGCAATCACTGCCTAGAAATATAGAGAACACTTTTTGAACCTGTATTTTTTTAAAAAAGCAGAGAAAGACAAACAGGAAAATTGCAGAACTTACATCTCTAACAACAGACGAGTAATTCTGGTTTTCAAGAGGTTCTGAGCCTTCTGATAAAAGCTATGGAAATAAGGTATTTCAAAATCAGTCATTTTATTCCCCATACTTTTTCACAGTAAGTAAAATACAAAGATTTTAAGCAACATTTAAATGCATGTGACAATGCCACAATCTTGTAGATCTGAAATTCTACTGGCCCTTATCGGTATTACTGGAGTTTTATGAACATACAGGAATTCATATAGCAGTCTAACTGTGGATGCTGAGCACCCAAAACACCCTCAGATTTAGTCACCACTGATGGTCTGGGAGCAATGAGCTGCCTGCCACAGCTTAATTTCTTGTCTACAAAGAAGCCTACAGAAAGTGTTCTTGACATGGCCCTCAAACACCCAAGTCACTTATGTCTCACATTCACATGATGCTCTTTCTAAGTATTGCCGCAAAAGCTAGAAAGCTTTTTTTGTAGCTTTTTTATTACTATTATTATTTAATGGAGTCAGTTATGTTCTACAGCAGATTCCTTTTAAATATGTATAGGAGACCAGAAAAGCAACAACCAGCAGACCGAAGTCCAAGCCTTTTTACCTTCTTGTTTGTCACATAAGACCTTACCATCTCCTCAATGTATGGGAAAAGCATATCGCCAAAGTACTCCGTTGCTTCTATGGGAAGCTGTGCTGGCAGGTTGTCAATGGAACACATCAGGATCCCTGAGCCTTCAACACTGAAAAAAAGAACCAGACTCTTCTAAACCACTTCTGCTTGGTACTTGAAAGGCAGTCACCTTGTGTGAGCTTTTTAAATGTGTGATTTTCAGCATAAAACTTCACTGTAAAAGTTACAGAGGAAAGGAGTACAAATTAAAGGCTCTCCCACCTGTCGTGAATAATATGCTGGTCAGCATCATACATACAAAAAGGACTGTCAATTGTTGTACACTCCGTCATAAATTCTATAGAACCTCCAGTGTCGGCTGAAATGTCACATATTGCCAAAAGTCTAAAGCAATTAAAAGAAAAAGGAACAGGTATTATCCAAACTGCAAAGATAGGTATAAGAGATCGTGAATTAACAGGAAATAGAGACACGTGAAGACCCATCAGAATTGTCATCTCATTCATCTTAATCAATTTAAAAGTCAACATAACACAAACAATGACTGCTAGAAATGTAAAGGAAATATGGCTCTACTGAAGTCAGCCAGGCATTCACATCAGGTGGACCCAAATGCCATCTATGACTTCTCAAAGACCACACATCATTAAGTTATCCATCATTCTTTCCTAAATCTCAAAGGCAGTGAAAGCAACAGTTTTGTCATGGCTACAAAAGTTACCACTCACTGCTTATGCAAATGGTCTCATTTGCAAAGGCTAAATGGCTTTAAGATAAAGGATAAAAGAAGACTAGAGGAAGCAGCAGCTACCTGATCTTATGCACTAACTCACTGGTAGCACATGACCTGGCTTTGCCTCTGCCCACACCAACAGCTCTCTCTGAAACACAGCATGGGCACAGTTGTGTGCACAGCTTATTCCAATGGCCATTCCCAAAAGGGAAGATGGATGAGACTCCAAGAGACCTATATGCCTCTACGGACCTCCAATCATATCTCCAAACACCCTGACACACATCCTCACATCACACCTTATATCACTCAATGTTTAAAACGGAAGGACACACAGCAACGTCTTTGGACAGAAGTCAGACAAAGACCTGCTTTCTTGCCAAGATACATTGCCTTTTTTCCCCCCCAAAAAACCATTCTTAGGTCAGCCTCATAAAGGACTACTAGGCTGCTAGAAATAGCATGTGGCCCCACCCACACCAGAAAGAATCTAACCCTGGACTTGCACCACACATTCCATATTAAAAGCAGCTTTAGTCTGGAAAGCTCCAGAATTCAGCTAAACCTGCTGCAGAAGTCTGAGGCAACAGCTATGGGCTTTGTATAAGCCAATGGCATGGAATAAAGCACTTTATGTAACAAACTACTGATGCACAGAAATATCTAGTAAGAATGGTGCAGTAGGAACACGTCCCAGAAGCAGGACACAGTTTTGATGCTGCATTCTGCGCAAGGAGCAGTGGGAGAACTGCCTTTGCAGAAAATAGCCAATACCTGTCACTCAGCCATCCATTTGTCTGGTGATGCTTGCAAACCTGATGTGGAAACTCCAGACCATGAAAACAAAACAGCAAAGCATACAAGAAAAATAGCAGAATCAATGGAACACTTTAAAACATGTAACAGGAACAGTTTAAGAAACAGTTATTTGCCAGATATTACAATAAAAGTGCATAGCAATACAACTTAATTGTGATGGGGCAGAATTATTATTAGTGGACTGAGATGCCTTACTTGTGTGGTAACTCAGGACAGCCCTCTGTCGAAACAGCAGCAGATTTCATTGGCACCAGCAGCTTCTGAGCATCCTGTCGACTTAACAAGCGAGGAGTATGTTGTTCCCAGTATATGCCATTAATTAAACAAGTTGTGTAGGGTGCAATCTGCAAAGAAAGTTACAGATGCCTGATGTCCTCATCTAATACTTTGAGAAGTCAAAGGCACCTGATCTAGTGTTTTAAATAAGCGTCTTCTCAATCAAATGGCATGCAAGGGAGTAATAACCTCTGACAGTTTGTGAAAAACTTTTCATAAAAGAACAGAAAGGATGCTCACATCAGTGTTAAAACGAGAAGTATAAAGTTCTGGATGTTTATCATAGTCCACTGGATCATACATTCCATCACTCTTCCGTACAAGATGATGGTGACGACTTAACACTGTCCCATAGACTTTTCTGAGATCTGAGATTAAAAAATATACAAATATATATTTATATATATTTAAAAAATTAGGTATCATAGAACAGAAGAGTACTTGGCTAAAATGAGCTCCAATGTTTTTACTGCACTTATTGTCACAGTATTACCTCCAGATTTGGAAACTTCTTTTAATTCATGAGGTTCCACAAACTCACATGGGAGGGCATTAAACATTTCTTGGGCACCCTGTGGACCAGAATTAGGATTCAGAATGAGCAGAAAATGTAAAGTGTAATACTGTTCATCTAATGTGTGGAAACTGATAAAAAAAAATATCAAGCACAATTTGACAGTCCTGCTAGAGAAGATCTTCAGAGACATGCACACTCATTCACACATGCCCCCACTCAACCAAACAAAGCTGTCTGGGTTCTCTGCTAAAGTATCAAGGAATCCATCTCATTTTCTCTTACTGCCTAACCCACAATCCAGTGTCTTTTTTATTTCTATTATTTTTATTATTTATTATTATTATTTTATTTCTATTTTTATTTCTATGATTATTTCTAATAACAGAACTGGGAGGCAATTCAGCCACAGCAGATGGTTTTCTTGCCATTCTGGGAAGCAGTTTCTCTTTAGAGAACACACCAACCAGACTGCTCTAAAGGCAAAGAATTTCAGGATGAGTTTCCACCAGAAATATGCTCATAGACCACGAAGGACGGGTTTTTCAGACAAGCCACCCTTTGGCTCAACAGGCACTCCTATTTACATAGGCAGTGATTTCTGTCTGTAGTTGAAGTCTACTTAACATAGCTTTGCTGCCAAAATTAGGGAAGAACTATTTTCTCTACATTGTTTCCAATTGCTCCAAACGTAATCATTTATAAGCCTAGTCAATGTTATAAAAACAGCTGAAAAGAGATTCAAACTATTAGAAAAGGTAATTATTTTCTATATGTTAATGATTTTACTTGTGTGGTGATACCAAAGTCAACACAGAGAGGAGAGGAGGATGAAAATCATGCAGGTGAAAAAGGAAGGAGGAAGAGTAAGACTTAACCGTTTTTTCATTGAAGTTAAAGGAATCAGCTAGGGACTTAAAAAAATCCTATTAGCAAAACAAAACTGAAGTCCAAGCAAACAAAATTAACTCATTATAGCCCATTTAATCAGATGTGTATGAACTGCCAAGTTAATTGCCAAAATAAGTTCTACTAAAAAAAATAAAAAGAATTTCAGTTTGAAGACAGAATTCTTACCTTGGAAACATTGCCAGTGCCTGTAAACACAAATGTTAAGGGCCCAACAGACTTTGGCATCAGTCCCAGTGAAATTTCATATCCGGCATCCCGCACAGCCTGCACAGCCTGACTGCTGTTCCTGTAGTTATGTGCCATCCCAATGTGCTGCAATCAAAGGCACAGAAATATAACGTAACTCCAAGTTCTAGTTACCATTTGGACATCTGTCCAAACATCATTTTGTTGAAGAAAAATATATATGTATATGCTCTTACCATGAAGGGAGTGTGGTGTCCCAAGGCTAGAAAGCGTAATCCCAGGCCATGTAGGATGTTGATCATTCCTATTATTGAAAAAAAGTCAGTATTAATTATGAACATGCACAGTTAGGAACTGCAGAAACTGACAGATGTATAAAATCAACCTTGATGTTTTTGTCTGTGTTTTAATATTAATATTTATAAAGAAAATTAACATAGACCTAGGGAAAGAGAAGACAAAATCTACATAATCTACAGCTCTTAAGCCTCTTTTTTCCCTCTACACTAGGCATTTCAGCACAGCTTAATGTTCAAATATCCTTTTGTCAGATGCTTTCACATCACCAGATTCCAAAGAAGCAACTGATAAAACGTTATTTCTGAAGAAACAGATATGAACTTCAGCAGAAAGGAACGAGAATCATGCTTCACAAAATCAATGTAAATGGGCAACAGAGTGACAAACAGTTGTTGTCCAGACCCGCAGGACTGGCAGCTGCACTTTGTTTCAAAAGCCTGTTCAGTCAGCTTCTTGGCAATTTGTCTGCCTTCGATTAGGCTGAGCAAACAGCCAGGGCTTCAAAACATCATAAAATACTGGATTTGTAGAGAATCCGTAGAACTATTTGACATACAGTCTCATTGAGAAGTAGGCAGCACAAAATATAAAGAAAAAAAGTCTTTAAAAACAACACAAGCATTGCAAGCCTCAACTTTCAGGAAACATACTTAGCCACAAATACTACAGGAGGTTGCACACTGCACGCTTGCCTTCACTGTATGTACTATACCTGCTACGCCAGCCCATTTTCCAAAGGCCACAACTCGCATTCCTTTATGATCAACCATTTTTTCATAGTCAAACAGTCGAATTTCCTGAAAATGCAACAGCAAACTGAGAGTTAACATTTTTAAGTGAATGCACAGGTAGTGGCAGATGGTTTTTCTAGGGGCTACATTTTCCCATGCCTTCATCACCCTTTGTGATAGAGGCTCATGGACATATATGAAAAGGGCAAATAATTTGCAACAATATTAAAAAAAAAGAAAGAAAGAAAAAACGGATAGGTTAGTCTGAGTTTGTGTTTCAAAGAGTCACTAACCTGCATGTCCATTCATGCCATAAAGTGCTTCAGGTGGCCCCTCCAACTCACCCTATAACTTGACAACTTTCCCATAAGCCTTTCTTGAACCTCTCCTGAGCATCCCACACTTGCAACTAATCTGTCCTTTGCATAAAAACACATTAGCACAAGATCTACACATGAGCAAGACATACACAGCTCCAGGAAGGGATCCTGACAGCAAGTCTCATTAGCTACGTGAATACACAAATACAAAGCTTGCTATACAGATAGCAAGCTTTGCACTTTGGTATTAAGCTCACTTTCCACCCCCCGCTAACAGCAGCTGGTCTTCGTTACAACAGCACCTACCTGTCGTAGAATCTCATCCAGGAGGGGCATGTTTGCCTCCTGGGCTTTAATAGTGTGGGAGAAGAAGGCATAGTTCTTTTGGGGGATTAATTTATCCTCTGGAGGTCTCTTCACGCCCACTATCAAAGATGCCTCAGAAATATCTTCCTGAATAATGCCACCTGCTTTGACATAATCCTGTAAAAGAGTAATCAAGGTGATTTTTCGTGCTGTTTTTCATGTTCAGTTCTCAGCCCAAAAGTAATTAAAATAGCATATGGGCAATTCCACAAAGCTGGAACAGGTTCCTACATGTCATGCATTCATAAGGGTCTTTATCAAAAGGGGTATCAAATCTTAAACTGAATTTCCACGCTCTACTACGTGAGATCAAAGCACAACAATATATTAATAAAATCAATCATCACAAAATCACAGATTACAAAAAGAATATTTTGCTGCATTTAAATTATCTTATAGTATTGCAGTGTTGAACACTTCCTGGAAAAAGTGTTGAAATACTTGTGAATAAGTGTACAAAACTGTGACAAGCTAAATAAGGCATGTTTTCATAAAACCATATAAAACTAACTCCAAGTTGAAATGCAATTTCCTCAAAACGGTTTTTAATATCAAAATTTATTTTTGCTCTCCTTCAACTCAAAAATATATTCAAAATCCAACTTCCATAGAGTAGTGCGTATCTAATGCAGTCTATGCTTTGTTGAAAACCAGCAGTGCACCTTAATTAAAGGGCAAGATATGCAATTAATCACTAATAATTCCCTACTTATATTTGAAACTTTATCTGCTGGCTCAGATGCTTTACAACAAAGCACTGCTTCAACTGGATGAGTTTTCAGTCCTAGAGCTCAAAGCATTAAGGAAAAAGAAAAACCTCTCCTCTTTCTACATAGAATGACATGGCAGCTTGAAACCTAAGCACTCCATCACACCTCACTGCATTTTCATTTGGTCTGCAAAACTCTTTGGGAAAAAAAATCACTGTTCAAACAGGGGCAGGATTCCCCTGTTTCCCCAAACGGAAGGTTCACCCTTCTTACTCTCTCTCCTTTATACATTATTTTTTAGCGTTGCCTTGAATCAACAGAAGCCAAAAATGTCCGTGTTAAGTGAGACTTCCCAAATCTCTCCTCCAAGAACACCTAGAACATCCATATTCACAGAAAAAAAAAGGAAGACAAATGAACAAAAACAACACCAAGAACTCATCAGCGTGCCAACACTACCCCAGAAAGTTAAGCCAATACTCCTTTTCCCCTCCTTTAGAAAAAAACGATAGCTCATTTAACAAAGGCAGTAATAATGTTTTCTCTATTATTTTTATCCTGTAGACCACTATTTTTCTTGTGCTACAGTTAATAATTAACCTGTGATTTTGCTTTTCCAACTCAAAAGGGGACCTTACCTTTTCATGGATGGCTCTGCGGTTTGATGGTTGCACCAGAACTTTGTATCCCATTTGTGTCAGTTCTTTAACATGCTTTGGTGCTAGAGGTGCTCTTCTCTCCCACGCATTAACATCTTCTCTCCTGATTGCCAGCACAGACTTATGGTAACGTCGGCACTTACAGTGACGGACCACACACCTGCCATTTGTGGGACTAAAGGCTCGGAGCATGGTAAAGCCTGATGGCAGCAAAGACAAAGCAGCAAAATAATGCAGCTATTATATATGCTTCAAATATTGTCTGTGCAAAAGTTCTGGTCTCCTTTAACATCTGCTGTAAAACACAAATCAGCTACTAAGTACTCCTGTTACAGCTACTTTTGTGAGACGTGAATTTTCTTTCATTCCTAAACATAAAAAGTTTCAATGGAAGATTGCAACTGGCTTTAAACTAGCCTGTACTTTGTAACATCTCGCTTTGGTGGTGTGACCTTGCAGAAATAAGTTGCTTATGCTGCTGTAAAAAAAGGTTTTTTATGTGTTCAAGGCACCAAACTTTTAATTACAGAGCTGACAAAGAATGCTGGAAACATGGAGACAGCAACTGAATTGATGTGGCAGCATCAACACGCCATGGCCAAGAACGTACCAAAGATTGCACCAGTAGGAAGGCAGTGACAAATGCACAGAAAGAAGGAAAGTGGGACACAGGCTACAACACAAGCAGCTGAGTAAAAGAGAAGCCCAGCAGATAAGACTGGTGCTAAGTTTGTTTACTTAACTAATACACACACAAACTAAGGGTGGTAAAGGACCGTAATTCTGCTGCTTAGTAGTCAGGGTACACGTGCCTGGGAGTGAAAGGTTTTCTTCCTGACCTTCTATAAGCTTATGAAAGGTAGAAAAGCTTTCTTGGGAGAAATTCCCTTTGCAAAGAACTATCCCTTTATTTTCTCTGCATTTCATCCTGCTGAAGCTTATCTGCCTCCTTGCTCTGTTCTTCCGGAAACGGCAAAGGCTCCACATGAACCCAGCCACAAACATCTAGAAGCCCTGGGAGTTCACATATTTGTAGGATTAAAAGATGGGGATGTCAAAGATAGAGGCTTTAGAGGTGTCAGTTTTGTTCCACAGTAATTTTAACTGGAGAAGGAAGAAGGAAGGAAGGAAGAAGGAAGGAAGGAAGGAAGGAAGGAAGGAAGGAAGGAAGGAAGGAAGGAAGGAAGGAAGGAAGGAAG